CCCCCCCCTTTTACAAGAGCAGCGGGCCCTGTTGTGCCGACTGGACGGAAACAAGCCGCGGACAGATGTCCACTGCCACCTGCCCGGCAGGCCCTGCCCCTGCCCTGCCACCTGGGAGGAGGCCGCTGCCGCCGACGTGCCGGCACCGCGGCGGCCAGGACAGGCACCCAGTCAACGTACAAAATGCGGGGGAGAGGGGGGGGGGTCCTCTAGGGCGTCATCATCCCGACCACGAGCAAACGCCGCGCCACACCGGGCGCCGCCTCCGCAGGGCTGGAAATGAGACGAAAACAGTTTGTGGAAGCACCACGACATGGGTGGACCAAAAGCAAAGGGCAATTAGAGGTGAGGGTGAGGAGGGGTGAAAGGGGAGGGGTAAGGGACACATTGCGCCGACCCTCCTCCAAGACCACCACACGCTCCACGGAGCGCCTGGGCTGCTGTAGGGGGGCGCCGTGCCGCAACGGGGCTGGGGCTGCTGGCGCTGGGGGGAGGTTGAGCGAAATGGACTTGGCATCATCTGCAGCTTTAGGCCACTCACAGACACTCGGGCCGCCGCCCACCACCACGCCGCCAAGGCCCGCCCGGTCCGCTTGGAGAGAGCTCTCTCCCTCCCCGCCCTAAAGGAGTTGGGTCAACAGCGCGCGGCAGGCTGGATAGGATACCGTCACGACCTCAGATTGCCAGATTGGCCTTCTTTGAGGCGGACAGCAGCACGGTCGGGCGGCAGGGAGGGAATGACCCGCTCCGCACTCATCTCAGGGGGCGTCTTCTGCTCACGTGCGGGCGCCGTGGCCTCGAGAAGGGTTTTACGTTTAGTTAATATTTTTCAGGTTCGAAAAAAAAAAATCCCCTCCCGCCGCCAGCGCTTATTGGCGTGCGAGGGGGTGGGGACCAATACCTTTAAGCTGCTTGCGAAGAGCTTATGTGCTAAGTTCGCGGCAAGAGACGCGACGCTCGCTTCCTTCCAGCCCCCACTTTCTAGACTCTTTATAAACTTGAACATAAAAAAATCGCCCAGCAAGACTTTCTTTCCTTTTATAACAAAAAAATATTTGACTTGCTTGACGATCGCGAATGGCTGAGTAAATGACCACAAGAGAAGGATGATCCACAACGCGAAACGCGACGAGAGCAGCGCGAGCTACAGGTCGCATTCTGGCGTCAAATTGCAGGTTAGGTCGTCTGTGGGTTATGTTCTCGAGAAAGTGCATTGTGTGCAAACTGATCTTAAGCTCACGTAAACCGTTTTCCCCTCTCGTAAAATGCGTTTCAACAAAAGATTCGTAAAGTACGGTGCGGACTGAAATAATATGCAACAGTTTGAGACACATGACAACACACGGACCGCACAACTGTGCAAACTCACCTATGCACTCAGCGACTCGGCTCTTTCATGGCACAGACAGACTATTCCACAGGCACAAAATGGTCAACACTAATATAACACGGTCGAAAAGATTATTTACTACTGCAGAAATTCGCGAGAAGTTACCACCACTCGGACACACGGTGTGTCCGACATGACGCGACGCGACTGACTGGCCGTTAGTTGACAGTTCGGCCGCCAGATGGTGCGCATGCGCTTGCAGCGCCTTTCGCGGTCAAGTATGAGAAAACGTGACGCATCTCAGGGAATGACCGTGAGCCGTGAGTTCAGACGTAGGCCCTCTTGCGCACTCATTTTCGTCTCACATGAAATTATTTTAGTGACGGGCATGCAGTTGTGCACGTTACCCGCACGCTCGGCTGCCGCACATTTGGGGCCAAGTCCCACCCAGCAAGCACCACCTCGGTCTCTCTTTGCAACCCCTCCCTCCCTCGTCCTACCCCCTCGGCTTCTGCTCCGGCTCCGTCCTTATGTCTCCGTTTATCCTTAGAGCCTTCTGTGTTTGCTTCGCACCCCCAGCTGTATACATACTCACACTAACGCACACCGACACACACACGTGTACACCTCCCCCTCCTTCCACGACCCCCTCCCCCTCCCCCCTCCTCCTCGTGACAACCCCACGGCACGCACGCATCGCCTAGAAAACGGCGACAAGATTCTGATTCTACAACTTTGTAAGTGGATCCCCCCCTCCTTAACGTTAGTTAGCGCACTGGGGGAGAGGAGAAGCCGACGCGCGGAAGAGGAAGAGGAGTAGTGAGAGGAGGGGGGGGCGAGCCCGGGGCTCGGCGGCGAGATAGTGGATGGGGATGATGAGAAATAGGGTGGAAAAGGGGGGAGGGGGCAGTAGTGTAGCCGCGCCGGGCGTGCGCGTGGGGGACAGGCAGGGACCTTGAGAGGGGGAGGGGGGCTAGGGGTACGAGTCCCGTCCACCGTCCCACCCTCTGCAGTCCCACGACACATCGTCATGCACGGCGTAGGACCGTGATGGGGATGGACAGTTCAAAAAGTCGGCGCGGAAGAAGATGTAGGTGGGGGCCAAGAGTCTCGGGGCCTATACTGCTGCAAGAACTTGGTTGCGGAAGGGGGAGGGGGAGGGTGGGGACGAGGGTCAGACATGGTTGGGGCGGCTGCGAGCTCTGGGCTGAGCCCCCCGGACTGAGTAGCAGAGAGAGAGAGAGAGGGGGGGGGGCAGGGAGAGAAGGGATGCAAGGGAAGGGTGAGGGGTCAGCACTAGCGGAGGCGAAGCGAGCCGAGGCAAAGGCCGGCCGAAAACACAAACAGTTTTCTGCTGAACTTCCTTCTCAAGATCCGCGTGCCCGCCCGATTAGTTACTTTCAAAACGGCTGTGGCGGGGCAGGGCCGGGCTGGGCGGGG